AGATAGACACTATTTAAGACATAAATCTAAAACCTGAAAGAAAGAAGACCTTAAAGCAGACATCAATCATATGAGTCATCTTTCTCTCCAAAAACCAAGGCAGCCTCGAATCTAAGCAGTCTTCCTTTTGTGTGGAGATATTTCCAAAGGAAGAAAGAAATCTTTAGATACAGAGTATGTTCCCGATATCTGTCTGCATAATCCTAGGCGGCTACTTCTCTAGCAAAGGGCCCCAAGAATGGATGAAATGCATAGAGATGAACAGGCCAGCTGAACAAAGGGACTAACAATATACTCTACTTGGAAATAGATTTTATTTTCCTTCCCCTCTCGCCTGTTCTACTTGTTTTAGACCCAAAGTAATAAGGTAATGGAAAATTTGTGCAACTAAGTTTCACTTCATAAACTAAAAAAGCTTAATTTGAAATGAATAGCACTTCAAAATGTTAGTCTTTTAAAGCAAACATTTTCCATCTTCTAAGATGATCTCAAATAAGCAACTCACACAGATTTCTGAAATTAGTTATCTACAATTGAGGGCAATTTAAACCTAATCTTCACCTATAAGTTTATACATTAAACTGGGCTGGAAAAAAACATATTTTTGTTTTGCTAGTGTTTTCAATTGAGATGAAATTCATATATTATAAAAGTAACCATCTTAAGGTTTACAATTCAATGGCATTTAGTACATTCACAATACTATGCAACCACCTCTTCTTTATAGTTTCAAAACCTGTCATCATCCCAGGAAACCCTGTGAAGTAATGTAATCAGCTCCCATTCCCCCACTGCCCCAGTTCTTGGCAAGTACTAAGTTGCTTTCTATCTCTATAGATTCTGGATATTTCAAACAGGAATGGTGAACTATTATGTATTGTATTGCAATTTGTGATTAACACTAATTCGTTTATATTAAACAGGGAATATTTGATAAAACCTGTAACAACTGAGTCTCATACAAATGAAGAATTGAATTTGTATACCACAATTTATTTTGCATTTTTTTAATGTTTAGCTTTTTGACAGGGAGGGAGGGAGGAAGGGAGGAAAAGAGAGAGAGAGAGAGAGAATATGAGTGGGGGAGGGTCAGAGAGAGAGGGAGACACAGAATCCAAAGAAGGCTCCAGGCTCTGAGCTGTCAGCACAGAGCCTGATGCAGGGCTCAAATTCCTGAACTGTGAGATCATGACCTGAGCCAAAGTTGGAGGCTTAACTGACTGAGCCAACTAGGTGCCCCTTTGCATTTTTAATGTCACTGAGTACCATATACTGCACTACTATTTTTAGGGCATTCCTTTCATGCAATGCTTGTGGAATAACAAGGTTGTGATGATGGGATACAAAAGATAAACGCTCAAAGGAATAAACCTTCATTTACAGGAAGTTTTTAAAGGCTCTAGAGTTTCTAAGGCTATTGAAAGTTACATACCTATTCTTCAGTTACTGATTCCATTTAAATGGGCATAGGAAATGGATAGGGACAATATTTACAAACTCATCACTAAAAATAGAGTCAGAAAAATATTAAAACAAAGTAACTTAGGGAAACATTGCAGCCATAAATCAACCACAGACCCTGAAGTAAAATAAAATGATTATCAGTAAGAATCAATGTGTTCCTATAGAAAGTAAGAATTACAAGCTTCTCACTTTTAAAGAGTCGAAGGCTATATTTTATCTTAACACTGTATCAATAAGTAGCCAATTATTTTAAATTATTGACTTTTAATTTAATTTTAAATGACTGATTTAATAATTTAAATTACCAATTAATTTAAAAAATTGAAAGAACTACAAAAGTAAGCCTCTGAAGAAGCAAACTATTAAATTGCAAAAGAACACAGTTTTAAAAAGAATCAAAATAAGAATGTTGACACTGCCAAGGCTAACATACAGTCCAGGTATCATAAGCCCGAGCTCAAAATGATTTTGCCTCCAAATATATTCACGGCACTTTCATAGTTATGCCCTAGAATAATAAGCAGCAACAGCAGAATTCAAGCATAGAGAGGAAATAAACTGCATAAAGTTTTAAAAATCATCAACAGCCTTGAAATGAAAGTTTGAACAATTTAAATTATATGTATATTTCTACTTGAGAAAATATCAGTCCACGAACTGACATCATACATTAGGAGGTCAGCTTGCATATCATATAAATTTTCTTTGTCCTCCAGAATTAACAATGTCATAAAATTGTGAGTTGTGGGCCTAGGTAAAAACTCACAAAAATAAAAATGCCCAAGGTAAAATAAATAGAAGGATATAGGAATTGTAATGTTGCTTTGCGACTTCCTAGGGATTTTCCCAAAAGGTGATATATGTGGACATAGTTTCCTAAACTCTACGTCATTAGAGCAAACCAAAATAGTCTCCACTCAGCAGGAATAGGGTTAAATATAAAGGGAAATACTATATCCAGAAGGATATCTTGCTTATGTTTCCTGCATGCAAAGAATGAAAATAAAATTAAGTTTCATGAAGAAGAAATCCATGTCCATCTTGTTCATGGTTGTATTCCCAGCAACTAGGATTAAGGGTGACCAAGGGCCAGAGCTTAACATATATTTTTTGAATCAATGATTGAAGATTAATTTCATAACAACATTTTTGAGGAAAATTTTGGCAATAGATTTCAAGAATCTTAAATTTTTTTCTCTTTCCATTCATACATTGATTTTATTTCTGAAAGTTACTCTGACAAAAGAATTTTTTGTTCGATCTAACAGAATATGTAACAGTCATATGGAAGGATTTCCATGGCATCATTGTTTGTAGTAATATAAATTAAGAAGAAACAAGATGTCCCTTTATAGAGAATTAAGTTAAAATGGTATATTAGATATATTAAAATCATTTTAAGAGAAATTTTTAAAGAAAAATGTGCACAATATATTACTAAGTGAGAAAGCAGATTCTGAAATACTATACACAGATTTATTATTTTGGTTTAAACATTTATATGTATGGGAATGTTACATTTTAGTGGCAGGGTTATAGATGATTTTTATTTTTTATGTATTTATCTGCACTCTCTAGATTTTCCACAACAAATATGTATAGTATTTATTAACACCATCTTACTGGAACACATCCCTTCCAAATCATAAGAAAATGATAAAATGTACACATTTTTAATTACAATTACATGAATTTTAAACTAACAACATTTATTAATGTAAATATTAGGACTTGAAATCATTAATTATATATATATATAGAAGTAAAACTTTTAAGTTAATATTTCCCAAAAATATTTAAGTCTTACCTTTCTAAGTCTATTCATTTTGAACCATGATGAAAAACAGCTGAGTTGGAAATTTGTCTAAATGCCTACACTACGCTCCTCAATATTCCCCCCACCCCATAGTCCAACTTCTATAGGGCCCTGGGATTTCAAAGAGGGTTACAAAGTGATACTTACTTACTATGAAGTCTAACTTCCGCTCCCTCTTCCACCAACTGAAGTCAACTATACACACACACACACACACACACACACACACACACACACTTATTTATGTACTGGCATCATCCAGTCATCCTATGCATTATTTAAAGATGGACTGGATCCATAATAATTAAAAAGAAATGGTTAACATTTGTTAGCACTTTCAAAAATGGTAGAAGAAAATACACGTGTATTTGTAACTACAAATGACAACATCTGTGCTGTCAATATATGTAAAAGAATAAGTAGAAAGATGCTATTTATGGTGGAAACTGAAAAAAAAAAGACCACTGTCTTCAAATGAAAAGGTTCACTCCATTTATGAGAGAAAGTGAAAGAAAATAATAAAGAGAAGAAATTCATTTTAGTAAGACATTTACAAGCTCCTGATAAGTATCTCAACTTCTTTCTTGTAGAATTTTTCTTTCATTGCCCTCTTTGTGATCAAAATCATCCCAGAATAGACATGTCTAAGAACTATTTCAATAATTTACATTAATTCTGCTTATACATCCTACATCCTTTAATAAAAATTCTTCAGCAAAAATCAAACACCTCCTTTTCCCTCCCAAAAATAAAAGAAATTTCATAGCTGGTTAAACAGAAAGCTTTTTCTATTGCTCTTAAAACACCAGCCCAAGAATCGTTTAGTTTTTAATTATAACATTTTTATACAAAATTCAATATCTGAATTTTGATACCCTAAATTGTTCTTAATACAATAACATTGCAAGTTTATGCAAGTTTAGTAACTCACCAACATTATGTTTCTAAACTATAACAGCATGAATTTCAATATTTTAAATAGTTTAAAAAGAGAATGGCAACTGAAGAAATTCATCATAATTGAAGGCTCAATTTGCAAAGCTCTTCTAATATGGGAAAAAATGCACAATTGAATTTTTAGTTTTTATTATAAAATGTTCAAATTAGGGATCACTTACTATGTAATCACCCAGCATGCTCAGTTATCTATTAAATATTTCCCCATCTATTTAGTTCTGTCTGTTGACCAAGGCTTCTCAAGTACCATTATATTGAAAGCAGTATTCATACCCCAATGATTTAGTATGATATTCAATGCAAATACCTTTAAACTAGAAAAGTAGGGAATGTATAAAATTTACTTTCATCTTAAATATGCCATGTTTGTACAATATGCAAATTTTTTTCTCTTAAAAGTCTAGGACAAGTTATAGTCATTTTAAGATACTGAGCAAAAATCATGACCTTGAAGTTCAGAATAAAAGTAACCAAGGTAAACAAGGTTTTAGATTTCATCACAAATTTTCTCATTAAATTCCAGAAAATCTAGGGGGCATAGCTCAGTGGTAGAGCATTTGACTGCAAATTCCAGAAAAGCTAATAAACTCTAATAAAGAAATACTATGATAAGCAATTTAAATTTCAATTAATTGAAATTACTGAGAAAGTTAATGGTTAAAATTATATTCTAAGAAGGAGCTGGTTTACAAAATGATATCATCATAAAGTATTACCACTACTTGATACTCCAAAAAGACAAATTAATGTAGTGAGTACATACTGAAAGTTGTCCGGATAAGTACTGTGGAACATCCCTCAACATGCCAGGACTCATGGGAGAGGTAACGGAAATAGAAGGGCGATCCATTTTTTGAGATTCAAAGGAGCTAGAACCTGAAATAATAATTATACATAAAAAATAATAATGATGACTCTTCATTAGTATTTAATAATCTATACCACATATCTTCAAAATTATTTATGTATTTATTTATAATGTCCTCAAAATGTCATTCTATAGGCCATTTTCTCAGCCACGATGTTCCAAAAATACTTAGAGCTATGTTTTGAAGCATAAGTGCAGCTGAGGGATTCTCTTAAGACAAGAGTGAAACATTTTCTCTGCCAATTAAAATAGAGACAGATTGGGGCGCCTGGGTGGCTTAGTCGGTTAAGCGTCCGACTTTCGCTCAGGTCATGATCTCGCGGTTCGTGGGTTCGAGCCCCGCGTCGGGCTCTGTGCTGACTGCCAGCTCAGAGCCTGGAGCCTGTTTCATTTTTTTTTGTGTCTCCCTCTCTCTCTGACGCTCTCTCTCTCTCTCTCTCTCTCTCTCTCCTAGAAATAAATAAAACATTAAAAAATTAAAAAATAAATAAATAAATAAATAAATAAATAAATAAATAAAATAAAATAGAGACAGACTTCTATGCCAGGACTTAGTTACTTTGTTATGTATATACTAAACTCATATTTTATCATATCATATTAAGAACATTCTTAAAATAGAAACAAAAAAATCAAAACCTAAATCAATAAAGCAATTTGAAGATGATGTAAACTTGTAATGCTAAGAACATAAGTACTAGAATATTACTCATGAAGTGTTTCCGGGAAGTGACACTTTTAAACCATATCTAGAAATGGATACAGCAAATTAGATGGGCAGAAAGAAACGGAGGGTCTATGAAACAAGAGACATTACAGCAGAAAAGCACAGTCCTGGTACCCAGAGTAAATTACATACATGAATTTATTTCTACAGAGGGGAAGGGATGATTCAGAAAGTGAATGCAAATGGAGCTAATGGGATGGTGAGGGAATAAGTGCCTGGAATTCTAAGCTACACATTTTGGCACTAACTGAGTATTAATTATTATTGCCTCACTCTCTCCTGGGTGAGGCAATAATTGCATTTGGAGAAGATGACTTCACTACCTATTTAAAGTGTGGATTGATTTGAGAGAGAGGGAAAATACCTCAAAACAAGTGGAATTCAGTAAAATAATAATAGGAACGGTTGTGAAAATAGAATGGACAAAAAGAATTCCAGTGATGCCCCAAAATAAACAAATGAGGACTCAGAAAGGAATTTGATATGAGAGATCAAGGGGGAAATGTGAAGATTTCAAGTCTTGTGACTAGACACGAGATCAAGAAAACCCTGCATGTATCTGTCTTGTTCTCTGCACAGGACACTGCTGATGTTCCTTGGGATGTGAAACACTGGGCAAGTCCTGTGTTTAAGGAATGGGTGGAGAAGTTAATTAGAACTAACATGATACCCTCTGAGACATCCAAGGGGGATGTAAAGCAGGTAACTGGATATAGGGATGGGACCAAATATCGAGTAGATATTAGTGTAAGGAATCAAACTGTAAAGTGCCTGCCAAATTGGAGGCATAAGTGGATAAAACCACTTTTAAAAGGGGTACAGTGTAAAATGAAGGGGGAAACTTTACCTCTTGGGATCAGAAGTAACAGTGATACCTTACATAATATTTCAAAGTGGAAAGGATGATGGCTTTATGGTAAGAAATAAGCTCAGTTTTCTACATGTTAAACTTCAAGTAACAGGAAGAAGACACTTAACAGAACACATTATTTAAACATCCAAGGATAAGGGAATGATGATAGATCATTGTGATAATATAAACTTAATAGTCATACAGAAATTAAAACTATTATGAAGAGAAGAATTTATTCAGTAACTAAGAGGATTAATAATTGGGACTTGGAGAAACCTATTCTTCAACATTTAAAGAATAAAGGACTGATTCTAATTTAATTTGAGAAAGGACCCCTCTCTCCTTAGAAACAATTTTAAAATTATAGACTAGGGACTTTTTAAATAGCTATAATAAGATAAAAGGTTCCACCCTGCTCATACAATATCTGAGTGATGTTACATAAGTGAATAAAAATTGTGCATATTTCATAGGACTTTTGTAAGAAGTAAGTGTGATAATGTAGACACACATCAAGCACAATCCCGGGCATTCAGTAAAATGGGAGCAATGATGATAAAGATGATGATATCACATAATATAATAATTATCATTATAGTAATACAGTCGGCTCGGAGGGTTTGGGATGCTAGCCCCTGCACAGTCAAAAATCCACAATAACTTTTGACTCTCCCAAAACTTAACTAACAATAGCAGAGAGAGAGAGAGAGAGAGAGAGAGAGAGAGAGAGAGAGAATCCCAAGCAGGCTCTCAGTGCAGAGGGATTGAGTCTGCATGGGGCTCAGTCTCACAAACCAAGAGATCTGACCTGAGCTCAGATCAAGAGTCAGACGCTTAACTGACTGAGCCACCCTGGCGCCACTAATAGTATATTCTTAATTATTGTAGAATCTGATCCTAATAGTATATTCTTAATTATTGTAGAATCTGATCCTTTCTCATCACCTTCATTGCTACTACCAATGCCTAAGCCACCAAATAAGATACTAAAGATTCCAATGGTATAAGTATCTAAATAAGATACTAAAGATTAAAGTAATTCCTTCACTGCCCTCTCTGCTTTCATCTTTGACTCATTTAAACTATTTTCAACATAGTAGCCAGATTCAAAACATTAATCTCTCCTCAAAACCATTTTATATAGCTACCGACTGCCCTCAAAGTAAAAGCCCCAAACAAAGTAGTCTTTAGGGAGGCTTATGAAGTCTATACAATTTGACTGCCATTCCCCCCCACCCTTCTTCCCTCCCCCTGTTCACTCTGGTGCAGCAACACTGGCCTCCTTGCTTTTCCTTAAGTGCACCTTAGGCTCTCCTGCCTTAGAGCTACAGCATGACTCCGTATACCTGTAAAGCTTTTACCCCAGACAGCCACTCTTTCAATTCTTTGCTCCAATCGTTCCTTCTCAATATGGTCTATCCTGATCATCTTATTTCAAATGGCAAACCTCCTCCTCTCTTTTACAATATCCTTTACTCTCAATCAATCAAGAAACAGATCACCGGAAAAAATTCATTTCTTTAACATCTGAAATAACACTCAGACACAAGCAATAAAAAGCATTTAGGAGTTTAACATCACTTAAGCTGATATGTCTCTTGTTCCATTACCACCCAGAAGTTAAATCAGAACTACTTTCCCATTTTCTAAAGATATAAATTAGAGTATTATTCAGTAGATTGTCCCAAATATTCCCCTCACTTACTGACAGTTAGTTTATAAAACAGTAAATTTTAGGGCACCTGGGTGTCTCAGTCGTTAAGCATCTGACTTCAACTCAGGTCATGATCTCACAGTTCCTGAGTTCGAGTCCCACACTGTATGAGTTCAAGCCCTGCTTCGGGTAAAACACGAGTCCCTGGTGAGCCCCACTTTTGTTTCTCTCTCTCTTTCTCTCTCTCTCTCTCTCTGCTGCTTGTAGGATTCTCCCTCTGCCACTCGCTCACTTGTGCCCTCTTTCTCTCTCAAAAAAAAGTAGTAAATTTTAAAATCAGAAGAAATGAAGGAAGAAGTGGAGAGATGGGTATGTTCATTATTTATATTGTGATGACGGTTTCATCTGTATGTCAAAACTTACCTCCTTATGCACTTACATGCAGTGTATGGTACCATACCTTAATAAAGCTATCTAACAACATGTAGTATTTAAGATAGTGTGATTTAAAAAACTCTTAAAATATCATACAATTTTGTACTTTACCTCACAATAGTATGAAACAATACTATTTTTTCATTTATATACGACTATATATATTTGATAACAAGATTATTATATTTCATTTTGTGTTAATTAATTAATTTCAGTTTGTGTTAATTAATAAAATACTTCATTTGACCCCTGGTAAATGACATTATTATTTTCTTCTAAAATAAATGAACTTACTAGACTCCAGTTGCGCATGTGTGGTATCAGGTATTCTAGGGATATCTCTGAAATGATAGAATAAGAAAACAAAAAATTGTTTCAAATATTAATGCAACTGCTATTTTTATTATTATCAACCTACATATAACAGGACAGTGTAAAACGAACAAAACTGTGCATTAAATAAAGAAGAAAAAACAAGCTGGGGGCGCCTGAGTGGCTCAGTCAGTTAAGCATATGATTTCAACTCAGGTTATGATCACATGGTTTGTGGGTTCGAGCCCTGTGTCAGACTCTGTGCTGACAGCTCAGATTCTGGAGTCTGCTTCACATTCTGTGTCTCCTTCTCTCTGACCCTCCCCACCTCGCACTCTGTCTGTCTCTCTCTCTCAAAAATAAATAAATAAACTTAAAAAAAGAAAGAAAAAACAAACTGTAGTACCTTATCGCTAATGAAAATATTCTGAGCTAACCCCAATTACTTAAAAAGGAATAGTCATATGCACTTATAGCAGATTTATAAAAACATAGGCTTTATTTTCCATGTGCATTACTACATGATTATCCATTCTAATAATTTTTTATTCAAGATTAGTTTTATGATATATTTGAATTCTATTCTATTCCTTATTCAGTAACATTGTAATGCAAATAAAATATAACCAAGATAAATATTTAAAGATTCAGATTGTGACTGAATTTTTTTAAATGTAACAACTCCATTGAGAAAAAATGCAAACATGTTTTTCATTAGGACTTAAAAACTGTAACTGCATTTATACCAAATATGTATAAATTTTTGTTTGAGATTTGCCAGGAGAGGTAAATTTTAATGGTTAAGATCATTTAGAAAAGCAAATAAAACAATATTGAAGATATTAAACAAAAATATGATGAGAAGATCCTCTAATACCAAGAAATAGATTAATACACTAAGCTGATATACTGCAGTTTTATCATATGACAAAACTATGAAAAGACAAAATGAAAATAGATATAATGTCATGTGCCAGATTCACTACTTTTAAAGGAACATTTCAATAAAACTAAGTTACCAATGTAAGTCATTTTCTCCAACATAAAAATAAACCAAAATAATATACTGAAAATGTTTCCTAACTGAATGAAAACATGGCATTAGTATTTTACAACAAAAAAGAATTTCTATAGCCCTCACCCTTGAATACTCTTACCCCAAGCTTGTATTTAATAATTTGCTGCTGTCAGTCTATCTATCTATATCTATCTATCTATCTATCTATCTATCTATCTATCTATCTATCTATTATTGCTTTTACTTAGCTACAGGTGTATCATTTACACTGGCTTAGAATATAAGCTTCTATAAGGGAAACTGCTGTGATATTTAATGAGTAATTTTCATAATCTATATACAAAAGATGATATTGATTGCCAACCTTTGGAAATTGTTAATTTAATCTAAAAGTAAAAATGACAAAAACCAAGGAGTATTTTGGTATTTGCTTATTTTTTGTCTGTTTCCTTAAAGGTGTCATGTTGCCCCTTAAACTGTTCCTTTTATTAAAGAATGGGGTGCCCTTACGCCCTCTCTTTCCTATGTTGAAATCTCCATTTTGAAAAAATACATAAAATTCATTGACCCTCATTTTCACAACATAGAGGACCACAGTTCAGGAAACTTTCTTTTAAAATTAATTGTTACTGGGGCAACTGGATGGTTCAGTCAGTTAAGCATTTGATTTCTGATTTCGGCTCGGGTCGTGATATCACAGTTAAATGAGATGGAGACCTGCATTGGGCTCTGCACTACAGTGTGGACTCTGCTCGGGATTCTCTCTCTCTCTCCCTGTCCCTCTCCCACTTGTGCTCTCTCTCTCTCTCTCAAAATAAATAAACACTTTGTAAAATGGAAAAAAAAATTTTTAAATAAAATTCTTAAAAAAAAATAAAAGTAAGTTACTACAGTCTCCTTCTTCCACCAGACTTTTAGTCATCTATTAAGCTACTAAGACAATAAAAATAATAAACACCTAAATATTTCTTCTTCTTTGATAATGAACTGTGTGTTCTAGCATGATACGATAAAGCGATGTCATGATTTTTGGTGAGCTGTTTTAGTAAAAAAGAAAAGAAGCACTGCCCTCGAAATTTGACAATAATCTTTATAGAACAATCAGGCATTTTTGGGTTGCACACTACAGGCTCTTTCATGGTAGTCAGCTTCACAAGGTACACGTAGAAAGCATGCAGCCCAACTCACCCGATAGGTCTGGAAACAACAAGTTCCACTTGTGGTTCCGGCTTGGACTCCAGAATGATGTTATACACGTCCTCAAACGTGGCCCCTTGCAACAACCTCCCATTCCATTCCAATACTTCATCACCTATAGTGTATTCCAGGAACGATAATCTTAGAAAGAAAAACTAATCCCATAAAATACACTTGGAACAAAAACAATCTTAAACCATAATGAACTCCATAGACTACAGTCACCATGGTGGAGTAAGACCCACTGAGGACTGCCACTGGCATCAAATTTGATGATGAGGATGATTAGTATTTTTACGCATAAGGACAAAGGGATTGGGGAATAAAAATTACATAAAAGTTACCTCGGTGGTCTCTTACTAGGAATCTAATTCTGGAAACTATCCAATTCTAGAAACTATTAAAATCCGTTCTCTCTTTGAAAACTTGATGACTATATTCTAGGTTTCTCAATATATATGCAACTAAGCACCTTATCTAAAGTTTCTTATAAAAAGCTTAATACTTAACATCTTATATCTTCTCTAAGGCACTCAAAGGACCTCTCCAATAGTATCCATTATCAAAGATATAAGGAGTAACACTTTTAGGAAATATGTATTTATCCATAAAGTTTGTTTCCTAAACTGTTGGAATTTTTTTCAAAAGAAAAGTTAGGGCTTACATGAAGCAAAATAATACTAGATACACAATAAGAATGTCCATCAGCAAAAAAATAATATCAGTAAAATAAGAATCTTTTTATCTAATGTGACTCAAGAAATAATTGTTTCCGTTAATGAATAAAGATTTGTATTTAAGCTAAATAAGCCTTTGTTTTTGGTCAAATCACTTCTAACCGAGGATAATTCTTTTATAACCATGTGAGTTTAACAGTTTAAATGTAAATAATCAAAGACAGAAACCTACCTGGTCTAAGATGTCCTACAGTATCAGCTAAACTTCCTTTTTTTACTTTGGTAATAAATGCACAAAGCCGACCTGATTCAGTCATCTTTCCTCCTACAACCTGTTTAAAAGAGGAAAGTGTTAAAACAAGCATATTGTTCAAAGGAACAGAGTTGCAGATCCAAGTAAAAAATAACTCGACAATTTGTAGCTTTTAAAACTATAATATTCTAAAAATAATTTTTAAAAATATAATGTTATTAGGAACTAAATACATGTAGACTCTTTTGACATATTCTAAAATTTTCACAATTTAATCTATTATTTGTAAAATAAAACTACATACCTTGGAAAAAATTTAATAATTTGTAATTTATGTCTTAAAGAATTATCTCTATCATTTCTAAAAACAAGTTATTACAGTACTATATAATTATATTAACATTTTTTCAAGTTTATTGATTTATTTTGAGAGAGAGAGAGAGCAGGGGAGGGGCAGAGACAGGGAGAGAATCCAAAGCAGGCCCCACACTGTCAGTGCAGAGCCTGACATGGGGCTTGAGCTCATAAACCATGGGATCATAACCTGAGCTGATATCAAGAGCTGGACACGAAACCAACTGAGCTACCCAGGTGCCCCTATATTAACATTTCTAGTTACAGATTTCAAATATCATAATCATATAAATATTTGTTTGACAAATATTTGACAATGGTTATGATAATCTAGTAAAATTTCATTAGTTAGTAATCTTTTAGGCACATTGATAATATATATAATGGTGTAAGTTTTCAGAGGCAAAGGGAGGGTATTAAAAACATAAGAGAAAGGAATTTATTAGCAAAGAATGCATTTTGAAGACCCTTCTAAAAGGGGGTCTATCAATAAATTTCTAGTATTGACCAAGAAATTCTATGTTGACTGGATAACAAATAATACTTGGAACATGAAAAAGTTTTAGTTAAAAGTGCAAATACTTGGGAATTCTTGAAAATGAGGTAAAAACACTAAGTATTAGGTTGGAAAGAGTTACTATGTCTTTTGCTTTTCTCATAAATCTATAAAGGAGTAGAGAGCCCAAACCTCACATAGTCCATCACATACCTTCAAGCCAAGCATTGCTCCTGAATCGCGAGGGACGCTTCCATCTTTTAGACGCTTATTTAACAAAATACGACCAATTAAACGATCTCCATCTTTAGATGGCTGCCACGTCACAGGGTGCTGACATATCGCATCAAAAAACAAAGAAATTAATGTTCTTTTTTGATAAAGGACCCCTTGTTGTACATCTCTCTGAATTCCTGATTTCCAAAGTGTGATGATTACACAAACCAGTTTTATTCAAAACATGGATCTAAAGGACGTACTACCTTATGCTTATAAGGTATAGATTTTCCAAAATCCAATCACTTCAAATTCTTACAGTGCCCTCACACATTGCTGCAGTTATATTGTTCTATAGAATCTGAGAAATGTTGAAGATAGATAAAAACTATCTACACACTGAAGATTAATTAAAAATTTATGAGACAAAAAATATAGGTTGAAATTCTATGTAGCTAAACTCACTTAAACATGATGTTTTAATCTTCAAATATTTTTGGAAGACTTTGAAAGCCTTAATTACAGTAAAAGGTAAAAGCTAAAGTTATATTAAAACATGAAATTTGAACCTATGATGAGGACTTCTTTGAAACAGGTTTCCAGGTGAGAATTCTAACAGTAACTTTTCCATGGAATCTGCATGAGAGAAAACAGATCCGATTCAAAGGTAAGGCTAGTTTTTAGTCCTCGGTTTTCGTAGCTTCACAGATTCTTTCAGATGTTTGATCTATTTAGTAAATTAATTTCATTGGCTAATTCAATGGTATCCACTGTTAAGTAAGCTTAACCAAACCCTTTATGAATCTTGACACCTCGGTTTTCGTAGCTTCACAGATTCTTTCAGATGTTTGATCTATTTAGTAAATTAATTTCATTGGCTAATTCAATGGTATCCACTGTTAAGTAAGCTTAACCAAACCCTTTATGAATCTTGACACCATCGATTATGAATTATATGTCAAACAACAAAGTAAATGGTTTGTGTAATCACAGTTTCACAGTTACCTAAAAGTGACATGCACATCTTCATGCAGAATTTGGCAGGCAGAAGACAAGTTCCAATCAATCACATCTCTATGGTAAAAAGATTTCAAAAGTCTCACTATACTAAAAGCGAAAATAATAAATACCAAAGCAGATGGCAATGGTTCTACTACTATTTAACACTACATTAAAATGCTATGACAATAAAACAAAAGAGCAAAATGACAGTGAAAGGGAAAAAAGAAAAACAACTTTTTCTGTGCAAACAGACCCAATTATCTCCCTTTTGCCTGGGATTGAAACTATTAATAATTTCATTTTCATCCCAAGGAAAATATATGCAAGCAATCAGATAAGCCAATCCAAAAATTCTTCGTATTTGTGGTTTATAAAAACATCACAAAGTTCTCTCATGCGACCATAGACAAAGCATTCCTTTGATCCTAATTTTTTATTTCATTTACTTGTTTTTTGGTATGCCGTCAAACAACCGAAACAGCAAAGCAAGTGAGAAGTATTTTGGTTTGTTTGTTTTTTGGGTTTTGTTTTTCTTTTCTGCACCTTAAGAAATGCTACATTGACCCTTGAAATGCCCTGTCCTTTTATTACGTTCTGTTTGAATGAGTGACAGAGAGCAAACGAAGACCAAATGAGCAGGTTAAAAGGCAGGCTCCACAATCTCAGTACCTTATCACTATGGCTATGCTCCTCGTTAAGGGTCGTGCTACTACAGGTATCTACCCCAGAGTCCTTAATCTGAGGCTCAGACCATTCCAAATCCTCTTCCAAAGAGTGGCCACCAAAGTACATCATTTTCTTTTGTCTCTCAGACCTGGTGTTAGAGTCCGACAAAACTGCCTGCTCACTAGTTTTTCTTTTTCCCTTTTGACTGTCCCCTACAGGTGTGGGATAAAAAGAAAAAAAAAAAAAAGATACAAAAAGAAAACATGCAAAGGTGTAAATCAAAAAGGAAAAGTGAAATGAAAAACGAAAATTAAATAGTAAGGCTCCACATGTCTCACCAAAGACATTGAGGATGCCTCACTGCTATGCCAAGACGTATGGTCCAGCCAGTTGTAATCCATGTCTCCTGTGAGAGTCAGACAGACAAAGAGTGCAGTAAAGGAGACGGCGAAAGAAAGGACAGACAACGACATTATAAACATTGTTAATTGTGTGATCCTCTCTGGTTTCAAGAACTTTGCGGCACTCGCTACACACACCAAGAAAAAGCTAAGATTCCAAATGAGTGGTAAAATTGATAGAATGCAGAATATAAAGTGTATGTACTCTGGATGGGTCCTACGGGGGGAAAGTTTCTGCAAGAAGAGGAAAGGCTAACAATAAACAGGAATAGAAATGAAAAAAAGAATATATTCCAAAAAAGAAAAAAAACTATCCACTGTGTCTGTTACTCAGGCTATTTTTTTCCCATAGACATGAGCAAAGATTAAGGACCATTTTAAAAATTAAACAGTGGTTTGCCAATAACCACTGTAACAAAAAGCCGAGTAATTAAATGTTGTTCCTGGAATGTAGTAGGATATTCTTTATAATGCTGAAACCTCCTAAAAGATTTTTTTTGGGGGGGGTTAAAAAAAGAAGAAAAGGTTACACAAAAGGTTAATGTTGTAGGAAAATGACAAAACAGAGTCACTCAATTTCTATTAGGAAAAAAAAAATCTTTACTTAAATATCACAAATTATTTAAAATTACTTGGAAATAACGTTTCAACTTTTTTGCAGAAATGGCACTCATAAAAAAGAAATTTGCTTTTAAAATAATTTTTGTCAGACTACATATGTAACTGGCAACTAAAAAAAGGTTTTCCATTTCCCAGATGTACATGTTCCTTATTTGCCTTGCATTTGGGAATAAAAAATCTTTTTAGTCTATATGTGCACATATATCTTTTTAAGCTCTGGTTGTACTTTGTCTTACTTAAAAATATTTACTAAACACCTTCCATTTACCACATATTTCACTAAATTCTAGCAGAAAGAGTAAAACAATGAGACATAGAACAGGGTGGAGGTAAAGACAATAAATAAATCCTGAGTGTCATACAGGAGAGTATAATACGTGCAAAGGGCAGAACTATCAACACCACAAAAGAGTATATAATGGGATCTAACTTAGATTTTTGGGCTCAGCAAACACCTCTAAAGAAGTGATGTTTAAAATGAGAAACGAAATACGGGGCCTAAAGGACGAATAAGGTGATAGACAGATGGAAAGTAGAAGAAAGAGCATTCCAGGAAGAAGCAACAACATGGTAGCTTAGAACTGATGGAACACTAGTGTGTCTGAACCAAAGAGATGCTAAGTGAGGTGAGGCAGCACAATCCAGCTTAGAGAGGCCTTTGCGTGCTTATTAAAGATGATGAATCTCATTCACTGAAGGATTTTGAGCAAGCTGGTGATGTGAACTGATTTACATTTAAAACAAATAAATCTAAGTACTAACTCATTGGGTTGAAAAACACCAAGAGTTAATAGGCATTTGCGATAATACATAGGGCAGGTAATTATGACTTGAACAAAGGTAATGTCAATGGATAAGGTGAGAGAAGAAGGGACTGAGGGATGTTTTGGATTTAGAAATAAGAGTATTGAGAAAGACTGAAGAGAGGCACCTGGCTGGCTCACTCAGTAGGGCATGAGACTCTTGATCTCCGGGTTGTGAGTTAGAGCCTATGTTGGGTACAGAGATTACTTTAAAAAAATTAAGAAACAGTAATGAGTCAAGGATAATTCCCACATTTTTGGCATTAACAACTGAATGGAAGGAAAGACTACTTATGAGATGGAGAAAACTGAAAGAAAAGCATTTTTTATTAGGAAAGAGTAAGAAAGAATTACTCTATTTCATAGAATCTAAAGTGTTATTGACTATAGAATTCACAGATACTAAAATGATAAAAATATACATCTTATTTATTAAATATGGAAATTAATTTTGGATATATTATTCAAAATACCTATAAAATATTCAAATGGACATATAAAAATTCAATTTGTTAAGCTTTAACAAAGAAGGTCTGAGCTGCAGACATAAATTATGTACATAATTAGTACATAATTATTTGTACACAGATCGGAATAAGTAGACCATTTAGGAACAGAATGGAAAGTAAGGTATGAGGATGACCCCGACTGAATTCTAACATTGAGAGTTTGATTTGAGAGAAAGAGAGGCTGAGAAAGAGCAAGCAAGAAAGAAAAGGAGGGAGGGAGATGAAGTTCTCCAAACCAAATAGGAGAGAGTTTCCTCAGCAGGAGGAGAAAGCAACTATGGTGAATGGTTACTATATAGCAGCTAAGGAACAGGGGTGCATTTGATTCGGCAACATGAAGGTCAGGAAGAATGTTAGAGAAAGCACTCTGGATAGAATGATGAAAATCAAAATCCGTTTGAACTAGAGAATCAAAGAGAGACAAGGCAGTAAAAAAATTGTGTGTAGACGAATAGTTCCCAGAATGAAATCCCCTCAATAGTATAATCAACATCACCTGGGAACTTGTTAGAAATGCAAATTCTTGAGCACCAATCAAGACTTAATTAATCAGGAATTCTGTAGCTAAAGCCTAGCAATCTGTTTCTTAATAACCTACCAGGTGATTACGATCTCAATAACGTTTGAGATCCACTGGAGATAATTTTCTTAATAATTTTCTTTGGGAAGGATGATGAAATTGTTCTAATATACACAAAATTCACTTTGCAGGGGAAAGATATTCTTTTTTTTTTTTTTTTTTTTAATTTTTTTTTTTATGTTTTTTTATTTCTAGGAGAGAGAGAGAGAGACAGCGTGAGCAGGGGAGAGTCAGAGAGAGAGGGAGTCACAGACCAAAGCAGGCTCCAGGCTCTGAGCTGGCAGTCAGCACAGAGCCCGACGCGGGGCTCGAACCCACGAACTGCGAGATCATGACCTAAGCGAAAGTCGGATGCTTAACCGACTAAGCCACCCAGGCGCCCCGGGAAAGATATTCTTTAGTTGACAAAATAGAGAAGGGCTTCCCAATCTTTCCCATGGCACAAATTGACAATTATAATTTTATGGCTACCCGAAAGTTGAAAGTATTTCTTTCTCAGAAAACCCTTTCAAAATGCAATACTGCCCCACACCAAGCATCGATAAATCTCCAAACTGGACTAAATAAAGTGAGGAAGCCATAAATGAAAATTCTTGGCTGTTTTTTGGGAAGGTATGAGAAGCCAGCTCACAATGTCTCTATCTCTCAAGGCCTGCAACTGCCAAAAAAGCAGAAATGAAGATCTTTCCTTAGTAAATAAAGTGCACAAGCTATTTAAGCATTTGAAACCAAAGAAAAATGGTAGACACTCAGTAGACATTTGTTGAAGGAGTAAAAATTAAGATTATTTAAGAAGTAGTACAGTAATCATGGAGCGCCTGGGTGGCTCAGTCGATTGAGCGTCTAACTTTAGCTCAGGTCAAGATCCCACAGTTTGTGGGTTCGAGCCCCGCGTTGGGCTCTGTGCTGACAGCTCAGAACCTTGAGCCTGCTTCGGATTCTGTGTCTCCTTCTCTCTTTGCTCCTTCCCTGCTTGCTCACTCTCTCTCTCAAAAATAAACATTTAAATAAATAAATAAATAAACAGTAATCAATGTTAATCATATACAAAATAGTCCTAAGCTACTAGACCTATTAGTATTTAGATAATAATATTTATCACCTAATATTCTTATTTTGTATAACTTCAAAGGACAGAACTAAGATAATAAAATATTCTTCCCTGAGTAACAGCATAAAAATGTATTGCTGGGCTTTCCAGTTCTAGAACAAGAAACAGAAGACATAAGTAAGTACCTAATGGGGGTGCCTGGGTGGCTCAGTCAGTTGGGCATCTGACTTTGGCTCAGGTCATGATCTCACAGTTCATGGGTTCGAGCCCCGCATCGGGTTCTGTGCTGCCAGCTCAGAGCCTGGAGCCTGCTTCAGATTCTATGTCTCCCTCTCTCTCTGACCCTCCCTTGCTCACACTGTCTCTCTCTCTCTTTCAGAAATAAATAAAAACATTTAAAAAATAAAAAAGTACCTAATGAAAATTTTAGAGCTGAAAAATAACTGAAATTTAAAAAGCAAATGGATTAGCTCAAGTACAGAACACAGAAAACAGAGGAACAACTCAATAAACTTGAAAATAGAACCACAGAAATCACCCAATCTGAAAAACATAAAATAGGCTAAAAAAATAAAATAGAAAATAAAGTAAAATAAAATAGAAAAAAATAAATAAAATAAACAAAATAAAATAAGCAAGTCTGTAGAGGCTTGAGGGATTATAACAAAAGATCTAATATTCATGTCATTATAGTCCCAGAAGGAGAAGAAAAAGAAGCTAAAGTCAAAAAAGTATTTGAAGAAATAGTGACTGAAAAATTCAAATTTGCAAAATGTGTAAGCTAAGCCTACTGATTCAAAAAACTACAAAAGCCCTCATACAAGAAATACACAAAGAAATCTGCAGCAAGACACATTCATCAAACTAAAAACTAAAGACAAATGGTTTTGAAAGGAGCAAGAGAAAAACAGCACCTTCCCTAAAGAGGGAAAACAATTTGAATGACAGTGGATTTCTGATCAGAAACCTTGGAGGCCAGAAGAAAATGGAACACTTAATTGTTCAAATACAAGAATGTCGACCCTGAATTCTAAATATGGTAAGGTATGTCTTAGAAATGAATGAGAAATAAAGAAATTCTCAGACAAAAGAAAACTAAGAGGATTTGTTACCAGCAGATCTATCCTAAAAGATGACTAAAGAAAGTTCTGGAAACAAAAATAAAAAAAGAAGGAACCTAGAAATACTGGAAGGAATAAAGAATATAGTAAGCAAAAATATGGTTAAGTACAATAGACTTCCCTTTT